CCCCCAACGCCCAACCCCCGTTCGCTTCCTCGAAATCGGTGCGCGGTATGCAGTAGGGGGTCAGATGCGTTAAGCGATCAGGAGACTAGCGCCTCGATTTCGGTGCATGATGAAGGTCAGGAAAGCAAAGCACTGCAACTAGCCCCGTGCCCCCCACCGGTCGAGTTTTTCCTAATGATCTTATCTTTGTGCACGCACACGCTCTAGGGCCGAGAGGCGGATCTCTGGGCGCTCGGTTGCTGCGTGTACCAGTTCCTCGTGGGGTTTACCCCCTTCCACGCTCCCAGCCCCTACCTGTGCTTCCTGCGGATCAAGAAGGGTGTCTTCAGGTACAATGAGTGGCCGCACCGTGAACACTCACCCTAGCCAGCATCCATGTGCGCTAACCGCCTTCGCGAGAATATTTTGTATATACCTAGGGTAGAGAGGTTTCTTAACCATAACCCTAACCCCAGCCCTCAACCCACACCTGTAACCCCTCCTGCTGTAAAATCTAAACCAAAGATTTACATCCTCGCGCTTGCAACTGTAATTCACCCAGCCTAAACCCTTGGTTACCCCGGCCGACGCCTGTGTGCGTTGCTTGGGGTAGAAGGACGTGTTGCGGGTATAAAAGGTTGGCCCCTTGTGCCCTGACCGTTGCCCCTGGCATGTTGGACGGCACGTGTTGAGACGTAATTGTTGGCCCTACCCTTACCCCTCCCCCTAGCCTAGCGCACACCTGTGTGCGTTGCTGGGGGTAGAAGTGCGGTGTGTTCCATGCTCACAGAGTGGCCCCCACGACCCTGTAGCCTGCGACTTTTTGTTGCTGGGGTTACAAGGGTATTTTGCAGGTGACTTGGAAAGAGTAGTCCAAGCCTCTTCCCGACGCCTTTTTTCGCATGCCTTCGGTTCAAACCCCCCTCACACTCCCCACTCCGGAATACGCCAATCAGGTGCCCGGAAGTCCTCCACGATGATGCCACGGACCTAGTCAAACGCCTGCTCCGCAGACACCCTTCCAGCCGTCTCGGAGCGGGGCCGTTATCTGGCACCGACCCAGTCCCTTGCCCTTCGCGGGAGCCCGGTGGGGCGGCGGGGGGGGCGGGGGGGGGTGCTGCCCAGGGCCAAGCCGAAGGGGGGGGGAAGGGTAGGCGGGACGGGGGCGGCGGCGGTTTCGAGGCGCTCAAGGGTCACCCGTTCTTCCGAGGCCTGGAGTTTGTCGGCGACGGACAGGTGTCTGTACGGTTGTCGCTGTCGGCGGTAGTTGTTCTTGATGTTGTTGTTGCTGTTTTTGTCGGTGTGCGTAGTCTACCTAATATGATACACGAGATAACACGCCCCCTGGACCGATTTTCGAAGATCGATTCCTCACCAGCAGAAAGCGGCACAGCGCCGAAACCGGGGGCGTTGGAAGTCGGTCCAGTGTGTGTGTCATCTTGTATTGTATGCGGTAGCTGCTGTCGTTGTTTCTGGCAGTGGCGGTGCTACCGAAAACGCTTTGTTAAGCCTCTACTTGCCGGCGGGCACCGTCGTTTCTAAAAACAGCTCTTGTCTTCCCCCCCACCTTTTCTGGCCCAACGCAACGCAACCCCCCGTCAAGCTTCTCCCGCCGTCCTCCGACTCATGAAGTTCTCAGCACTTGCTCTCGCGTTTGTTTGTTTTTTTTTTTCTGACCCCCGTCCCGTCCCGTCCCGTTTTGCCCCCCCCAACAACGTGCGGATTTTTTGTAATGGGGGATGGAACGGAAATCCAGCCGTTGCCGCCATCCGTGACGGTTCCCAAGCTGTACGAGCTCTGCGTTCGAGCGCTCGCGCACCACATGGTGGACTACGCCGACGCCACTCCCCTCATCAGGTCCGTCGTCGTCGTCTCGTTGGTTCTTGGCGCTGCTGCTGGTGTTGCATGTTGGTGCTGTTGGTGGTCGTGACCGTCGTGATGGGTGATGGTGCTCGCATTGTTGATGTTGTTGTTGTTGTTGATGATGTTGCTGTTGCTGTCGATGTTGATGTCGCAGCTGCTGCTGCTGTTGATGTTTTTGTCGTTGTTGCTATTGCTGCCGTGGACGTTGTTGTTGATGCTGATTCTACTGTTGTTGCTGTTGATGTGGTTGCTGCTGCTGCTGTTGATGTTATTGTTGCTGCCGCTGTTGATGTTATTGTTGCAGTTGTTGTTTGTTGTCGTGGTGCTCGCTGCAACAACAACATCAACAGATCAGCGATTAGTTCTTGCAACAGGAGGAAGCTACTGTACCGCGTACAATCACCCTAACGTTGTCGTCGTACAGCATCCTTCCGCCAGGGAAACTAACTTTGCCAGTCATGTACCCGCTCCAAGACGATCTGACGGCCCCTTTCTGGCACCTTTGTTCCCGTGCATTCTCGAGTCGAGACGGGGGAGGTCCATGTTGCTCGAAAACTCGGTAAGCAGACTCTCTCGACCGCAAACAACTCTTGAGTCCAGAGGGGGTAGGTCATGTTGCTCGGACTCTCTTGACGTTAACCCTAATGAAGTCGGTGTTTCCCTGCTGCCGCCGTCGTGTCCCATGTATGGTGCATACCAACAGAGAGCCGCTTCCATACCACGTTGACATCAAGCGCCTCGGTACGGGCGGGGAGGGGGCCCCGTGCGGCACCAGCGCCGGCGGTAGCACCCCGGGAGGGGACCCCGCGGTTGCGGCTGCGAATGCTGCTGCCCTCAAGCGGCGGCGGGGTTTCCTGGAGCGCACGAAGCACTACCTGCTGCGCCTCCGGTTGCTTCAGCGCCCCAAGGTGCACCGGCTCTTTCACCCCTCCGCCGTGGATGCGAAGAGCCTGAGGGCCGACCCGATCATGAGGTAAGCGTGTCCGTTGCCGGGAGGGGGGGTGTACTATGTAAACGCATGCCGCAGTCGTTAGACCATCGACCTCGGATCATCCCAGACTCCGTTTCACGAGGATGAACTGGTCATCATCCTTGCGTTTGCAGTGCCAAACCAAATGTGTCATGGGTTGATTCGGCATCCCCTAACCAAACGTTTCACATTCGGTGGACACGACTGTATGTCAAGTACTGCAAGAGGCTTGATATTTGCGCACGCCGGGGGG